ATTCCAGTTGAAAATTTGTGTGGTGATCTTTTCCATTGAGTTTATGCAAATACACCAATTCACACACACAGCTGGAGTTGGCAATCAAAGCAATTTTAGATAGTACAATGTATGTACTAAATTTGGGGTCTTTCCATAGTCTCTAAAGCCCACCTATATTTTCAGTCTTCAAATGTTCATTGGAAATAGTCTCCATCTCTCTGATATCAGGCCAGTAGTATTGGGAGTCATTTGGGCTGTCAAAATTAAACTTTTTTCATCCAAAATGGCAGCCTGCCTTTCTTTGTTCCAGCACTTATGACTAGCAAATATAAGCCTGCTGTTTGTGATGGGGTTTCAGTAGTGGTTGCTTTTCCATTTCAAGAATCTGATGTGTTTTGTAGATTTTGCCCTAAGATTACAGTAGAGCGTCAATTTTCCGAATCAATTGTGGACTGGGGTTGTCCGTATAACTGATATTTTGGATAACCGATTTATGTACGAAAAAATAGTTTAACATATCCGATGTTAAAATTTTTTTCCGTTGCGTGTCGCTTCACGTTGAATTTTCGTCGATGTTAAGCATAACAAAGACTATTGTATCATTAAAAATTATTTTTTTATTTTGCACAAACAAAATAAATATATTGAAAAATATAAAAACAATAAAAAATTACACTTCAGATGTTAATTTAGCATCAAAAACGTAAAATATTTGAGTAGTCCAAGACAGCCGAAGATTGAAGCGCCACAGCACTGGTGAAAATTTAAATTTGCTGACTGAAATTCTTTCGGATAATTGATGTTTCGGATGATTGACTTTCAGAAAATCGACGCTCTACTGTATTCATGTTATATCTTTATCTTTCAGGTCTAACCTATATTTGATTTTACTCATAAATTGCAGTCTGTGAAAACCTATCCAACAGATGCCATCACATCTTGAGAAAGGTGTTCCTAGTTTTCTGCCAGATTTGTTGTTTATGCTTCCTCAGGTATATACAGACAACCATTTTGCATAGTACTTCTACCCTGACCATGTTTTTCTGCAATTTGTGTCAGATTATATTCCAAGAATCTCTCTCTCTTCTCCAACTCTAGGATCTTTTCCTCATCCTATTACTACAACTTCAAACAGTACACTGCACATCTAACAACATTATGACATGTCAGACTTTAAATGCAAACTTGTGCAAAATAGCTGAGTATAAAAAAAGCGTTTGAAGTCTATTTATTGATGTGTGCTATTATTATGTACCCATCATAGTGGTTGGAACAGCCGTCTAATGTACCAAAGATGTTAGAGTATTATACTAAGTTAATGGAAGAGTGGTGCAGAGTAGTCATGTTCACCAAGTTACATTTATAATTTAAATATATTTGTTCATTCAAAATATGCTGTGCCAACCCCTGTGATAAATGTGTAATAATAATAGCATACTACTAAATCTTGATTTTAAATAAATGCAAAGCTATGCAAAATAGAGAATAAAAAGAGCATTTGAAGTCTGACATGTCTTAACCTGCAAAGATGACAGGAACATATCATACATTCCAAATAAAAATAATATGAATTGTCATGATAAATAATTGTGATAATGGAAATAAATGAGCAATGCCTGGCTGCAATTTTTCATTACAATGCTCTCAATTTTAATAGTCTCTTGCTTCCATACATCATACTATACTTTCCTTTTAACAATGTAGTCATGCCAGTCATCTCAACTCCATTCAGGAGAAAATTTTTGACTTTGGTCCAAACCAGAAGTTTGTATACAGTGTAATTGGGGCCTCTTGCCCCTAAGCTCTCCCATATCTGGTCTCAACTTTCATGTATCTAACTCCATTCTCAAGATTAAGGAAGGACAGAGACCTATAAATTCCCACTAGTGTCTGTTTACAATTTTTGAAAATTGCAGCTCAATAATTGGAAGAATATTTTGTAAAAAAAAAAATGTCTTTACAAGTAAAAAATCATAAAATTTAAATAGTTTTCTTATGGAAATTGTCTAGAAAAAGTAGTTCAATTTTTCAAATAGGTGGCACTATTTATAAATAATGCACTGACTGCTTCAAAACTGACTACTAAGTCAATTTAATAATTTGAAGACATTTACTTTTTTTCTTTAAATATAAAACGTATGAAAAATACAGTTTTAAAAATATTTGTTTTAATCCAGTGGTTCTCAACTGGGGGTACTGTACATGTACCCCTAGGGGTACTAGCGTAAATCGAAGGGGTACATCTAACTTTCATTATAAAATGGTGCATGTTAATCAATTTGCTGTAAATTATTAACACAAGAAACGACAAAAACTTGCTTTAAAATATCCCAGTGTGAACACCGATTTCCCTTTTAACAGTCTAAACAACCACTTGATTTGCCTGTCTATTTGTGCCATTAATGCTGAGTGAACCTGTAGTCTAGTAAAATTATAGTTTAACTGAGCATTAATTATTTCTAGATAAGATTGGGGCTTTTCATTTTTTTACTGGACTACTGGTATTAGGAATAATGAGGCCAGGATTGTATCCCCACCATGCAATGCGTGTCACTGCATGCACGCATTACTTGATATTTAGCAAATTTATATGTTACGTTTGTTACAAAACTTGAAAGATTCATGTATTGTTCTGCACGTTATAAATTTGCAGCCATTACTTTCAAGGTCAGTACACAATTATAATCTCTATTTAACAATGTGGGAACCAAATTTTGAAAAAAATTGCTGAAGATTTATTGCAACAAATATTCCATTAAATTTTGTTAGAAATTATTGTAGAATAATTTAATTTTCTTTAATTATAATTATTTATTTTTAGGAAATGTAATTTATGCATGTATTGAAATGTGATTTTATATAATATATTTATCAAATAATAATTAATAATAAATTTAATCAGGTACACACATTTATTTATTATGTAAAATAAGTAATTCACTTTTAGTTATAGTTAGTTTATTTTATGGTGCTCAGTTATAAGGACTATACATCTAATGCAGTAATTATAAAATTTACATACAAAAATATAAGGGGTACTTGAGAAACAACTAATGGGCTAATGGGGTACATCATCAAAAAAGGTTGATAACCACTGTTTGTCAATTTATTTAAATTGGATTGGCATGTGGATAAGATTACTTATTTAGGTGGTCAGTCATGAAACCTTCCTCATATCAGCTTTATATAGTAGATATCTTGTCACGGCATGCCAAAAATGGCCACTAGGGGGTGCCCCTAGCTATTATTTAAATTAATTTAAATAAATATAAAATAATTTATACTGAGTATCATACTGTAAAAATATATTATTTTTATTTGTAATTTAGTATGCCCCGATGCCTGCATTGGGCCTTTCAACTTGTCTTTGCAATAAACGTAAAATTGTAAATAGCAAATTTATAAAAATTATATTAAAAAATCAATGTATTGGTAAAAAAATGCTATACATACTGAAGACGGAATAAATATGCATTTTGAGATCAGTTTGGATAGTGTCAGTCTTAAATGACAATTTATGAAATAAAGATGCTCCACAAGACAAGCTTTGTTTTGGACTAAATTCAGTCAATCAGTCAATCCTAAACTGCATTCTAATAAATTAAAAAAGTTGTGTTTTTATTTACCTCAGAATAGCAAGGTGATATGATGAAAACAAACAGATCTCAAATAATAAATTTCTTTATAGTAGTGATATTTTATCTGTATATAATAGGGGTGGCCAACCTGCAGCTCGCAAGCCACATGCGGCTCTTTGAAGGATTATCTGTGGCTCTCGATAGATGTACCTGAGTTCTCTTTTCACNTTCTGAATGAGTCTGATAGCTTCAAGAATATTAAATTTTTCTTTCCAAAACATTTTTAATTTAATCTCCTAATTCATTGGCTGAATCAACAAGATGGTATTCAGAGGAAGAAACTGAACTGTCAGCCAGGGAAAGTCTTCCAGCAAATTATCTTCAAGGTCTTTTGAGTGTTCTAGTGCATTGTCCAATTGTGCTTTCAATGGCAATTCATTGGTCTGAAGGTAATCCTTGATTCTTGGAGCACAAACTTCAACCAGCCATTCTTTGAAAGAGCCTGTGTGACCCATGCCCTTTTATTCATTCTCCACATCACTGGCATTTGTTTTGAATACTTTAGGGTTCTCATAGTGTGAAACATCAATGCTATTATTTATAATATGAAAATCATATAAAATTTGTTATTTATCAATGTTATTAAGTGCATCACATTTGATATATGATTGTTTTTTAATTTTAAAAAATATTACCTTGAAGAAAGGACACTGTTTTAGGAGGAGGCGGCATAAATAAATTCAAAATTATATGTATTGTTGCTAAATAGTTGGCTGTTGTTAGCATGACTATTCCCATTAGACAACTTTTTAAAAACTGTTTGAATATGGAAGTAATCTGACATTTTAAATAGGGGAGAACCAATGAATGCTATTCACTGTACTAAGAATACATAAGTAAACTTGTGAATACTCTGGAGTTCTCTGGATAGTCTTATATAGAGAATAATTATCAGAAACTTTAGAACATTGAACCTTGAAAGCTGATATTTTATCCAATAATGGCTTCAATAAATTAAAACTGGAAATAAGATCTAATATAACATTGATTAAGCATGGAGTGATAATTACAGAAAATTAATGGAGAACAATATTGGGGGGTCAGCCATCATTGTCGTCATGACATCACTAACTTTTATGTAAATAAATGAGATATTGTCATATACATTCTGGAAAATTCACAATATATCTATTTGTCTACAGAGCATATGAGTTTTTAGAAAACAACACATTTTTCATCATCAAATGTGCCTGTAGAGAATATGAATTTTAAGTGTTTAACAATGAATTGCAAGTTGCAAATTGGCAGATAAATCACTTCACTGTGTAATTATTTGAAAACTGATAATGTTAATGTTGATTTCACAGATAATCTTAACATATCATAATTTGTTCTATAGAGGTTTTAGAACTAGTTACATATGCAAAAATACAATAAAAATTAATAATTAGAATCTTTAATTTTATTGAATAGATCTGTACAGTTATATTTGAAATATATCACTTACAAGAAAATGAGGTCTACAAGTATAACAAACATTAACAGTCCTTTGTGTCTTCTGGATCAATTATAATATACAACATAGCACCAAATCATGGAATTTACATGATTTTATATGTTGTTTGTAGAAGGCTTAAAAGACAGCATTGCATAAGAGATATTTTGTAGTTCCTACTTTGTGGAACTGATTTTTGTTTTTATATTTTTTTTTATAATATTCAATTAAAATTTTTTAATAAAAATAGTAAAAACATACACGCAGAGCAAATAAAATGTATCATGATGTATTTTATAATTGGGCCAATGATTTGAAATTTAATGTAATGTTGTCAATGATGTAATGATTTTAAGAGTTCGTTTGCTCCTAAATTATTTGGAGCATGTATTGATGACAGTAGTCAAAATATAAATAACAAATCACATTGCATAAATTTTGTCATACATATTGAAAATTTTAAAAATTCTATCCAGTTCCCTCTAATTCACCTTCATATTGTTTACGGAAACAATCTCCAACTGGAAAGAAATCCCAGCATCTTTTCTGATAGTATTCCCAAACATAGGTTTCCTAAAATAGAAAGTTTTTGATTAAAAATGAAATTAATAATTTTAAAAATATAGAAAATTAGCATATAACTATATAATTCAATAAACTATTGGGTTGAACTGAAAGTTCATTCAGTTTTTATAATGAAATAAAATATACTATTTTGAAATAAATAAATAATCTTTAATCCACAATGGATTCACCCTTCTGTTCGATAACCTTATGCCACCTGACAGGTAGTTTCATAATTCCATCCGTGTAGAATTGGGTGGGTTTCTGATTGAAGAAATTATCGATGTGATCTTTTTGATACCTTCTAAAGATTGAAATTCTATGACATTTAAATTATTCTGCAATGATTGAAAAAGATGATAGTCTGAGGGAGCATTATGCAGGGTGATTCAAAACATCCCAGTTAAAGTCTAGAAGTTATTGGCACACACAGTTCTATCGTCATATCAGTTTGAAGAGCTCATAATGGAACCTGAATGTCATCTTCATTCACCTCCAATTCCAGATCTCTAGCAATTGTCACAATTCCATCCATAATTTCAGGGACATCATCTCAGTCTCCCTGAATGCAGGAGGAACACAGCTTTTTGCCAAGCAGAATTTAACTATTGTTGAATGACTTCTGACCATGCCTTCTGAATGAGTCTGATAGCTTCAAGAATATTAAATTTTTCTTTCCAAAACATTTTTAATTTAATCTCCTAATTCATTGGCTGAATCAACAAGATGGTATTCAGAGGAAGAAACTGAACTGTCAGCCAGGGAAAGTCTTCCAGCAAATTATCTTCAAGGTCTTTTGAGTGTTCTAGTGCATTGTCCAATTGTGCTTTCAATGGCAATTCATTGGTCTGAAGGTAATCCTTGATTCTTGGAGCACAAACTTCAACCAGCCATTCTTTGAAAGAGCCTGTGTGACCCATGCCCTTTTATTCATTCTCCACATCACTGGCATTTGTTTTGAATACTTTAGGGTTCTCATAGTGAGAGACAAGATGTGGGATAAGTTTCATATCACCACTAGCATTATCTCCCAAAAGTAAGGTCAATTGATCTTTTATGGGCCCAGGAATATTTTTCTGATCTTTCATGATGTAGGTATGATTCAACATGTGCTTCAAACATTTTTCTAGCATTCTCTTGAATGTCATACTAATTACATCTCTTTTCATTTCCCTTTCTTTTATCCAAACAAAAAGCAATCTCTCCATTTTTCCATGGATGGCACAGATGTGATTTTTGTTACTGCTTTAGCTGCTTGAGTCTTCTTGATTAGCTAAGATTGTGCCTACTGTATGGCTTGAACAGGTCTACAGACCTGTTCAAGCCATACTGACTGTATAGCAACTTCAGACATCTCCCTACTCTCTACCTTGGCTTTTATCTCTTGCTTGGTTTCTATGGTGAGCACTGTTCTTGACACTAATTAAAATTATGGAGCCAAAAAAGAGTAAAAAAAAAAAAGGAACTGATAATGAGTTCAGAAAAGCACTTACAAAATTCAGAGAAAGGAAATCAACTAGCACACAAAAAATTATGTAAATGTGAGGCCTGGATGGAATTTGAAATTTGGTGTTAAGACGTTAATGAATACCTGATGGGACAGTTAAACTCTCCCCTTTCGAAAATAAAAGCTGATGCAAAACTTAGTCTTCAAGAGACTGTTGGGAACTCTAAAAAATTAATTCTGTCAGAGAGGTAAACAAAAGGCTGGGATTACTAGGAAAAGTTTCAAAGTTTGGAGGAATAATATTCGATTGGTATCAAGTTGAGCATTGATGTCAACGTTTCCATGCTCCGAATTGTTACCTGGAGACAAGGGAACATCAATCGATATTTGTTATTTTACATTGCTTCTTCTTGTGTTTGTTCTGTGAGGTGTTCGTTATCTGAACATAAAAATCTTTCGCAAAAGTGTTCATTGTCCGATTTGTTCACAGTCCGAACTGTTCGTTAACTGATCACCCACTGTATAATGAACAGTTATTTATTGTGACATTAAAAATTGCAGCCAGGCATTGTAACAATCATATTTTTAATTTAAATAAATATATGCTTACCACCTCAAATTAGTAGTGGCTTGCCCCTGTACATCATACTTTTCCTTTAACAATAGATAGATCACTGGCATGACTAACACCTTTCAGGGGAAAATTTTTGAATTGAAATTATATGAACTTCTGATGCAAACCAAAAGTTACATTTAGTTAATTGGGACCTCCTGCCCCTAAGGTTTCCATATATGATCTTGGTTTTCATCTGTGAGATTAGCAGCTATATTATTGCCTTATCTAAAGCTACCAATGATTATATTCAGTAACAAAGAGTTGAGAGTTGAAGTCAGTATTCATCAATCAGTATTCATTTTACTTTTAAGTGGATAAGACTCACTTAAGTAAAATAAATGCTGATAAGAGAGCTGAATTTTAAGTCAGTCATAAAACTAAACCTGAGAAGTCACTGGTTGAATGATGAATGAATAAATAAGATGATTTCTTTTTTGCCATTACAGGTTGAGACTCATTTATCTCAAATGCTTGGGTTGATTTGAACTATATTATAATAGCAATTTGTATAAATTGTAGACCTTAAATTCCCACAGATGTCTGTCTGTCCACCTGTCTTTCTTTAATCTCAAGAATGGAGTTAAAGAGATCAAAGCCGAAACCAGATATGGAAAGATTAGGAAGCCACAATTAACTATATATGAACTTTTGAGGCAAACCAGAAGTTACATTATTTCAATTAAAAAATTTTCCTCTGAAAGGAGTTGGATGACTGGTATGACTATTCTAACAGGAAAAGTATGGTGTACAGGGACAAGACACTACTAATTTGAGATAGAGAGCATATATTCTAAATTAAATAAATTAAAAATATGATTAAAAATTGCAGCCCAGCATTGTGACGATGACACAATAAATATTTGCTCATTTCATTTGACATTTTTTTTTGTTGCTTATTTATAGATGGTTATTAATATTTTTGATAGACATACCTACATGAATATCTTTTAAAAATATTTTCATGTGTTCAAATATTGCATATTTTTTTAAATTTTACATGTATTCCAGTAAACATGTTAATACCTTGAGTGTATTTTAATCCTGATTTTTTCTTTTTCTCATCTTTCTCTTGTATATATGTGTAAAATATATATATATTCACCCTTCCATGAAGTTTACATTCTGGCAGAAAGGGCCTAGTGAGAACATTCTAGTGCTTTGTGGTGTGGCATGTTATGTCAGCACTTAAAAACCTCCAAAATCCAAGAATTTTTTTAAATTTTAGATAATGAATTCTCAACCTGTATTATCATATTTTTAGTAATAGTAGACAAAATAAAAAGTTATTTTACTTTTTCAGAAAATTTCAGATGTATTTTGTTATCTCATTGCGTAATACCATATATAATAGTGAGTTTGTACATTAGTATTTTACAATCTTATGAATAGCCAATAGTCATTCAAAATGGCACCACTTTTTCAAGCATTGTTTTATGTTTCTTGGCCAGCCAATCTGTAGAAAACATCTGAAATACAGCATTAATTATCTTGTGAACTGGAATTTGAGTTTCTCTCAGATGTGAGAAGGGTCATTTCTGGTTTCCCTCATTTAAATTGGTGTGCCACTCAATTTAAGAAAATATACAATAAAACACATTGTACCAATAGTTTTTAAACTTAGTTTTACTAACATAATTATACATTATGTTCTACATACTGTGTTTTAATTATATTTAATATGGCAAATAAAATAAAAGACAAATCCTTTACACTTGCAGATGATTGACTTTCA